AGTAAAAGAGTTAATCTAAACTTGACAGAAACGAAATAAAAATTGCAGTCATGCATTGTGACAAACCAACACACAGGTGTATATTTTATGATAAAAAACATTACCCTGTGCCATATTAATCAAATTTGCTGGTAATTTGATCTTCGCTTAAGCTAAACTAAGAACAACCCTCAAACTCAAACAATTATCAAAATAGTTAACTAATATTTGGGTCAATCAACTTTTTAATGACACTCGGCTGATCCGAAATTTTATATAAAACATTTTTATAATTAATAAAAAATCTTCATATCGAGTTCTTAGGTTTTCGCGATTGTTACACATAGGAAATGAAACTATTTTTTCGGATTTAAATCGCGTATATTTGTTTTTTCAAACAAACTGACATTTCGGGCCCTTTACAGGTCACATGGTCACGGTTGAATGTCAACGAAAAAACAAATATACGCGATTTAAATCCGGAAAAAATCTTCAATTTGTTCGTACTGTAAAACGTAAAAAAATCCTAAAAATGTCTGTTCCATTTTCATCATAGATTTATAGAAAAATTACATAGATTCACAAAGAATCAACAAGGGACAAAACTTCAAATAGTATTCTATAATTGTGACTATTTTCTTAAAGACTGATCGTACCAATAATTATTTGACTATACATGAAAGAATAATTTAAAAAAAAAACCGCTGTTTTTACCAAAAAAAAAACCGCTGTTTTTACCAGAACTTTTGACGACCGTATCGTAAGATACGTAAAACGTAAAAAGTTCTGGTAAAGTACAGATAGGGAAAATGTAAATTTTTCCTTAATATTGTCAAAAATAATTAGTTACCGTGAACATAAATCTTAAGACAATCATCAGGATCAGAAACTCGAAGATGGCTACTATAGTAATAATAATATATATATATATATATTTTAAATTTCATACATTCATCACAATGTCGGTAAAAAAAGCTTATTGACCCATTATAATAGGTGTTGAATTCTTTTGCACACATTTGCAAACTTATTGGATAGGTTTATTATACTTGTAGGAAAAAAACACCATTTCTTTTAATAGGCAAATTAGTTTTGGTGTTATATAGATACAATGTGAACGTCAGAATTATAATTTAACATGTCTTATACCATTACTAACAAGTTATTAATTTAGTTTAAGAGAAAACCATATCAGCACATTATCCGTGACTCAAAGAGTGAACATAATGATGACACGATAGATTTTTAAGTGAGACGTAAAATGACATTACATTATACATGATTACTATGTTATGTATTTAGGAACGAAGATTACGCTTACAACGTGTTGAAATTGTGACAAAAAATTAAAAAGCACCAGTTTATTACATTACTGACTGAAATCGCCAAAACTTTAGTAATAAAGTAGAAATGGTTATCTACATCGAAGTGTCGGCATGGGAACTTGCATAAAATTGTGTCACTGTATACAAAAATACAAGTTCTACCGAATAAATACTAGTCCAAAGACAAAAGGTCTTAGGTGGTTTTCCACCGGCGAGGCGAGACGAGACGAGGCGAGACGAAAATTTATATAACAAAATTTCAATTCTCTCCTAGCTAATCTTCGGTGGAAATGGTCTGGATTGATGAGGATGGGCGAGGCGAGAATTGAAGTATTTGTTGATGTAGTATTGAACCGTATTGCTACCTACATAGACTATTGTACTCTGCAACGGAAACACGATTTCTCGCGTGGGCTCGCGCGATCTCGCGAAGTCATTCAACCCCTAGTTTACCACCTTTAGAGGTCGAATATTTTCTTCAAATTTAAATGGGACCACTTCAAATTTAGAAGGTACCCTCTTTCCAACAAAAAAAGAACCATCAAAATCGGTTCACAAATGGCGGAGTTATCGCGTAACATACATACAAAAAAAAACATACAGTCGAATTGAGAACCTTTTTTTGAAGTCAGTTAAAAAAGATGGTTTCACCTGATTCTTCTTCCGTTAACATATACATATAGGACACATTACTTCAACCGCGTATTTATCGCTAGATGAACTCAACAGCACTAAATCTTTACTATCCACAATCACGCGAACCACCGCGAGCTCGCGCTGGTTCGCGCGAGTTTTTGATAGCAATTTTTGGAGGAAATAGACCAGCGAGATTTCAATTCTCGTCTCTCCTCGTCTTGTCTCGCCTCGCTGGTAAAAAAGCACTTTAATACATGCCTAACTACAGCTATAGGAATTCTTAATTTCTAATTTTATTTACAAAACTACAAAACGAGTAACAATTATCAAAAATATCTTAGAACTTGTTAAACAATTGTGATATCTTTGAAATGGCATCATATATCATTGTTTGCCATAGGTGATGATAGTAACTCTATTGCTTTACAAAACTTTGGTTTCCTAATGCCGAAAGACATAGTAATCTGTTAAGTCTTAATGGCCATTTTAATGCTGTAGAACTAATCGAATATTTACAAATAAGGTTAATTTTATTTTGCTTATTACTTCTGGTAGTTTTTTGAGTTATTTTGAGTTTTTCATAATACCGATTAGTCAGTAATTCGAGTTCACAATGTCTTTGTAAGTTCTTCGCACGTTGTTCATATTTCAATAACAGAATAAAATATGGCAGTACGCGTTTGATATTCACTTTTGGGTTTCTTAGCACCTAGTGGAGAATGTCAACGGCCGTGAAAATCTACCGTCAATGGTACGGGAAGAATGATGACGGATGCGTGATAGCTGGTAAGTGGTGACCACATCGGGGGAAGTTTGGAGGAACAGGTGGTAGGTCATGTTCAGTGCCGATGTGAATAATCAAGTTCATTCCTATTACTATGTGATATATGAAGTGGCAGTGGAACAGCCAGTATCCTGAAAATAACAATACACATATTATTACCACGATATAATAATAATAATAATAATAATAATAACGCACACACTCAACATAGCCCCGCACTAGGGAAACCCTGTGTCGCGGGTGCCATGGACACACATAGACAACCACAAATTACACCCAAACTCACGAGAGAAATAAATGTAGGCCATACAAATATTTCTCCCGGCCCGGGAATCGAACCTGGGACCTCTGCGTGGCAGTCCGGCATGGTAACCGTTCGGCCACAGAGGCAGTTTATTATCGTTAACTTTAATACGTCCCAATGCTGGCCACGGGTCTCTTCTAAGCAGAGGATGAGGGCGTCTTTGAAAGTTATGGGAACCTTTATTGATACGCTGTTGATGTTTTATCGCGATGTTTTTCTTTAAAATTGAAGTAGGTGATAATGAGTAAATAAACGAATGTCAAAATGGTAATGATTGTTAGTATTGTATTAAGAAAGTAATATATAGGTATACGCACCAGGATTGTCAGCTTTTAACCTCAGAACGACGTATCCGTTGTTGGGTACCGCGAGTGTATCTTTGTAAGGAGGAAGGTTGTACTGCCTTTTCAGTAAGCCTTTTCGATCCAAGTCCAGTGCATGCTTTAAATTGATTTTCTTGATATTTTTGTCAGGCGATCGGCCGATACCAATCACATTGTAAGGCCCTCCATGAAGATGGAATGGATGAGAGAGATTCGGGGATTGCACTAGAAGTGTAAGCAATTATGGTTTTAGCACAGTAGATTTTGCACTAAATACAACTTTAATTCTACTTAAGGCTTAACCTCGTTCAATCAATAAAATGTTCGAAGAGCTAGAGTTAGTCTACTAACAAATAAATTTACGAACTTACCTTCATCAACGAGTACAATTTCCACTATAGAGTTGAGAGGTACATCAATCATATGTGTACAACGGCAGTCCGCAGGGCAGTTAGGGGGTCGGTTGTCACCGTTGCAGAACAATTCTGGGTCCAGTTCATGCATCTGGGATAGAGGGGGTGCTGGCGGAGAACGGTAGGATATCTCATCTACTAAACTGATCACATGGTCACCACCAGGCGCGACTGTAAAACATTAAAAAAAATATAATAATTTTCTTACAAATTTTTAAGATCATTTCCCCCTTTTCACTTTCTCTTACCTAAGAAGTTGTTGTAAGTATTCTCTTTGAAGAGGTCTTTAGGTTTGTAGAAGTGGAATCGGAAGGGCAGAAAGATTTTAACGTCGGGTCTCTCAGCAAGCAAGGCCTTGTCAACGGGCTTGGCAGATTTGAGATTGCTCACACAGATCGCATCGACGCGGGGTTGGTCGCAGATGGCGTCTAGCGGGTTCATGATCTACGTAGAAAAGTAAAATAACACTTTGAAGGAATTTGGCTGTAATCATGCAACAATAGGTAACAGAAATAATGATTAGCAAGTATCATAACTTACGGACAGATAAAAAAGATTTTGAGAAGACTTGGAAACAATTGTTTTTTGTTATTTTTTAAGGACATAATTTAATTTGTGATTGTAAAGATATTTTCACACTCCTACTTAAATACAAGAATGTAGAAAGTTTGATAAGAAGCAGTACGTAAACTTATGCCATCGAAGAAACTGTAGAAAATGACACGGAATATATTAATACATTAATACAACTGTACAGACAAAATATGCATAATAATATACAACCTGTGTCTCCTGGGGTGTCACGTGCATCTACACTTGCATTGGTATCCACATAACAGGTCCCACTAATGGTCCCACTATAAGTCCATCTAGCTAAAATGTAAACTTTTAACTAAGTGCTAGATACTCTACGTAATTTGGTTGTACGTGCAAGGGTATATTTACAAGTTTATAATTGTGTAATCAAGGCGTAACACAGTGAGATGATGATAAAAGCTTTTTCTAAGAATCATGTTAAAGATTTAGAGTAGAAAGAACTTTCGTCAACACAATATTGATACATTAAAAATATTTATTAAAATAAAATAAAGCAGCATTTAATATATTTTATTTTATTAAAGAGTATAAAAATTACACTTTTTATTTATAATAGTTATTATAAAATTGATTAACAATAATTTCCTGCTAAAATCATTGCAGTTAAAGTGGTATACGATATACCATTGGTGGTCTGAGACAGCGCAAATGAGGACCTTACTTTGTGAGTATAGAGTCCAAATGTGTACTTACTTTATCATGACACCAACTGTACGTATACCTATAAGATTAATATGTATAAATTATAAATATCGAATAAATCGTTGATGACGATGTTTCTGTAGACTAGGGTTGCCAATGCGATTTTTAATATTTCGTTTTGATTTTTGGCACAGTTGGCACAGTAACACAACGTTTATAACTGTGACTTAAGATAATGGTAACATTGCGAATGGTAACATTTATTGCAAACCTATTTAGTTATAGACAGTCTTCACTGATGACAAGAGGTATGCATTGTATAACCAAAAGAAGTGTATTTACAGTTACATACATACACAGCTGTTGAAGTGTATTATTTACATTCCTACAATTTATATGGTGTGTGACGAGAGTTGATAACTGGGTTCTTTAGCTTAAGTATCTATATTTATATAGTAGTAAATTTTATGATATATACACGTAATAAATAAAAATCCTTGGTGAAAATTGTAATGGCAAGTTGTTAGTTCCAGGTCGGAAATGTTCAATGGAAGGATACCATTAGGAGAAGAATGTCGTTGGTCTAAAAGCCTCAAGAGTAATCACAAGAAAACACCCAATATGGCAATAAAATAAAACTAATATCAACACAAGAGAATTGTATCGCTGTTAAATAAAATCACATATCGCCATAACCTCCTGTTGAATCGTTTCATACTAAGTAACACGACGACGGAAGAACCGAACACTTCGCATCCGTCGTACACATCACACAAAACAAACATAAATTTACACTTAGTTAACATAATTATTCAACTGCAGTGATAGTTTGCGCTGAAAACTGTAGGAACCGACTCAAGGGTGCAAGGAAATTGGGGGTAGGTGGTCTCCGCACGTCGGGAAGGTAGGGGGTACGGGAGGAAGGTCAGCATGAGTGCCAACTTGGAGCACGAGGTTCATTCCAATGACGATGTGGAAGAGGAAATGACAGTGGAGTAGCCAGAAACCAGGGTTATTGGCTCGGAAACGGAGAATGACGTATCCGTTGTTGGGCACCGCAATGGTATCCTTCGCTGGGGGCAAGTCTCCCTGTTTAAGATGACGTTGTAGTAGACCTCTCCTGTCAAGGTCGAGAGCGTGTTTTAAGTTGATCTTCTTGACGTTCTGATCAGGAGAGCGGCCAATACCGACGACGTTGAAGGCGTATCCGTGCAAATGGAACGGATGTGATAAGTTTGCAATTTGAACTGAAATTAAAGAACGGGTAATCAGCATTACTAATAATTTGCATTCGCAATGAGTTTATAAGTGTAGTTTAAAATTCGAGAACTGACTGATCACCAAAGTAACCGTTACTGACGTTATGTGAACACAATACTTTTAGGGTATTTAAAGCTTTAAAACTAACGTTATCGTCAAGCAGGTTTCACTTACCTTCATCTACAAGTACAATTTCGACAATAGCGTTCACCGGTATATCAACTTTGTGGGTGCACATACAATTTTGTCCGCAATCTGCTGGTCTATTGTCTCCGTTGCAGAATTGCTCAGGGTTGATATCATCGTACTGACTGATCAGGGGGGTAGGAGGAGGCATGTACGAGATCTCATCAATCAAACTGATCACGTGGTCTCCAGACGGGGCCACTGTCAAAATAGGTTGAATGAATTTAATAATGTTATGAAGGAATTGTAATGGTGTAGTTTAAAACTATAAAATATGAAACGCACTTTCAAAGGTCGAAAATGCTCACCTAGGTATTTGTTGTAAGTGTTAGGTTGGAACAACATCTCTGGTCTGTACACGAAGAAACGGAAAGGCAAAAAGATTTTCACATCGGGTCTTTCCTGAAGAATACCAGGGTCAATATTCCTTGCGTTTTTTAGTTGGCTTACGCAAATAGCTTCGTTCCTTTGGCGGTTACAAATTGCGTCCAATGGATTCATCACCTGTTTAGTTAGTGGGGAGAAAGGTACGTGCAATTACTAATATTACGTGCATACTACACTACAATATTGTTTACCTTCCTCTAAATCTAATTACTACTTGTAAATCTATGGTAATAAATCCGAACTGAGTACCAATTGACTATGATTTATTTAAATCATGTTTCCTATAACTGTTTCATCCGTACGTGCAATATATTTACTAAGCCATCTATTCTACAATTGACACTAAACATATAGTGTACTGAATGGTAAATTATTTACAAATACAGACGAATGAGTAATAAGTAATGACCACGCTCTGATTGCGTGTTGTATGTAATTTAATTACATAGGCTGTTTAAAATTATTCTTTACTTCGACACTGTAGTATTGGTAGATACGATAGTGGTCCTCATAAATGTTTAACTAGTGAGTTCAATGAGGTACCGAGGTTGTCGTGTCAGGCTTTCTGTGCAATATCCGCCAATTAATAACAAAGTCTTGTGGTTTCGTGCCGTGTTCGAACCTGGACGCAACTAATGCATAAATTGCAGATATTGCTATTACTGCAATTTCGATGGAAACATATTTATAAATTTCTACGATACACATTTATGTATCATAGAAATTCTTTACAGTGGTATTAGAATTGGTTTCAACTGCATTTAGCTAAGCTTCATGATTATAAATTTTGCATAATTTTACGTGTCCAAAAGTATATGATCGAAACTCAGCTTGTGGTATATAGGTATTGAAAATTTCTACACTTGTCCCTTTATCATGATCTATACTGATTAATATAGCCTCGGATCTACCGCCTTATTTACATTAATATGTATAATACAGAAATCTCCATTGTTCGATGTATGTACAGTGCAGCCACTCACCACGCCCTGAGGTAAACCAACGTCGTAAGTTGGAGGTTGAGACGAGGGCTGATACGGGCCTCTGGCGTAACGGAGGATACCCAATTGCTGGGCCCTCTTAATACCACATTCGCCAAGGCCTCGTACTTGGATCCAATAAGCACCGGGAATGTTGTTAGCTTCGATAACAAAGTCATAACGTTCGCCTGAAATTCATAAAGTTTAGAAGTCAAATGTTGTTGAATTTATTTTCATCGTCAGAATTATAGAACACGAAATGTATGACTCCTTACTATAGATATTTTATTCCGAAGGCAATAGAAATTTAATGAACATTGAAAAAGGAAGAAGTTGCAACATGTTATTCAATTTATCCGCTTGAGTAGTTGCACTACATAACTGAAGTTAACAATTTTTTGTTCCGAAATAACTCGCATGAAAATAATGTTGCATACAATCACTGAGGGAGTCTATAATCTATTGATAAGTAATTCAAATGAAATAAGGTAGCAATTATTGGAAGACAGTGATTAGAATTGGGAAAAGTTAATGCGCTATGGTGAAAACGGTCATTCATTTATATTTTTTATTGTATATTATTTAAATTACCAATAAACTACAGCTAACCTGAGAATGATATTATAGTATTGACTTGTACGGGTTCTACTGGTTCACCGTCTGTAGCTATTACAGTTAGATTGTGGCCTTGAAATGTGACTTGCGCCGGACATACAGACGCAAACGCGTTGATCATTCTAAATCTGTATCTTCTGCCTGGCGTGATAGTGAACACCTCAAGAGGAGTGTTAGTCATGAAACCGGTGTTGGGATCTCTGAACTGTCCTTTTCCATTGATGAGCACAGACTCAGGGTCTTGTCCAGTATTAACGGCGAGGCGACCAGGGTATCTCTCAGCAGCATCTTCGTGGAGCCAGTCACTGATTAGTATGACATGTGTGGTCAAATCGTAGTCGTACAAGTGGCTGTTAGGGTCCTTGGAAGGAGGTTGACGGACTACGATACTGCCATATATACCATCGAGTTTTTGGAGACCAGTATGGGCGTGCCAAAAGTGAGTACCAGCATTACCTTTCCATTGGTATCTGAAATAAGTGCAGTTAAATGTAATTACGAAAGATTTCGCCGTCACATTTTAAAGCATCAGAAAAAATTGTCAGAATAGTTTACCTGAAAGTGTTTCCTTGTTGAATTGGACACTGAGTAACAAAAGGCACACCGTCGTAATACTGAGTGCCTCGTTGAGTGATACCGTGCCAGTGGATTGTTACTTCCATACCTTCCATGTGGTTCTCGACGTCGATTACGACCTTGTCGTTCTCGCACACTTGGATGGAAGGTCCGGGCAACATTCTGTTCACGGAAAGGATACCTCGTTCGACACCATCTGCGAGAACACACTGGCAGTGCGACCAGACCACGTTGGTGGCGTTCGGTGTGCATACTTGGCAAGCCCTGGAAAAACATAATGAATTTATTAGGAACGACGGTTACAAATACTACAGAACAGTTACCAGATAATCTCGTTTTTGTGGCTAAGTGGCATATTTAAGAATTTATTTCTTAATCAGCATCCACTCCATTTCAATTAAACGTATGATTGCAGGCTTTCAATATCCGCTCGCTAATAGGCAATTAGTGTTTGTCGGTTTTATATAAAGCTGATATGGGGTAAAATCTGAGCTTGAAGCATTATTGAATGATGATTAGTTTTTCCTAATGTTAATGTAAAGTGGAAGACACATGTAATTAATGTGTTTTCTATATCAAACAAGTTGCACCACGATTTCCTTAGATTAGGTGCTAGTACGATCGTCCGTTGCATATATTTACGCAACTGTGTCGTCATCTATTAATTACGTGTGAATTCGGATCGGTGCACAAGTTCGCTGAATATAGAGCAGTTAACTAGCCGTGAACAGATCGGTAATGGGTGCTTAACTAGGCGAGCCGGTGCTCAAAAAAACTGAACGTTTTGATGTTTCTGGTTTTTATGTCTTATTTACCCACAGATTTAATATTAAAACGTAACAAACCCAAATATTGCAATTGTGTATATTTTTAGCGAGTTTAAACTTTACACGAGTGTAATATTTATATTTTCGAATAAAGCTACACAGATGGGCTTAAATCTGTCAGTTAAGTTAACATTGTTTAGCGATAAAAGAAGTTATTATGCGGGCTGTCACAAGAAACTGTCTCTAACATTTATGCAAATAAAAATTTCTAGACAGGATTATTTGTAAAATACGAATAACTTCGCAGAACTATGTTTACAAACATCATAAGTAACGAGTTTTGTTTCATGACAAAATATAATAAATTTATAAAAAAAGAAACTTTTAAGTTTTTGGTGTACTATCTGACACTTTTTACAACTGTATTTACACGTTTGTAAGTTCAAACGTGCAAGCGCCCTCCCCGACGACCCCCATTTTCTTTTGTTACCGCACAGAGATATCATCGTTTAAAGCGTCATCAATTTAATAGAATTTTATGCAATCGTTGCGGTTTTAAACTCGAGTGCCGTATTTAGGCCAAAAGGTTACGCCGAGGGGCCTAAGTAATAGTTACGAGATTTTAAGACCTAATTGTGTAATGACTGCATACAATACTTTTTCTACGAGTAAATAAAATAATCAAACAGAACCAATATTTATTTTAGGTATATTTTGATAAAATCCATGACAACAAATGCACAACAATTTAAAAACTAAAAAAATTTAACCCCTTTTATTAGGGTAGGCAAAGGCTCCACCATACAACCCTTCAAATATTTAGACAACAGCCAAACAAACGTTATAAAACAAAAAACAAAAACAAAATATAAGTGGCCAAGTGTCGCATATATTTTAACCAATATTTTTTTTTCTTTAAAAATTTATGGCACAGTTGCAGGACTTTTAGGCCTGTTTAACTATTCAGGAGACATTATAGCGTTTAAGTAGCGTACTTATTGATATTTTAATTAGCAAAAATACTATATTCTTTTTCTGAAAATCATTATAATACACAAGTACAGTATTATAACACTTATCACAGTTCTGTGTACAGCACTTCAATGAAAATTTTCAGCCCAGTGGCGAGTACCATAGACAATAGAATTTTGATTCAGAACTAAAAATAGCGCCATTAAGGTATGGTTTATGAAATTATAATTGACAGATTAAAAAAAAGTACAGGAGCAGAAAAATGTTTTTATTTTTGTACGAAAGTAGAATCTGATGAATTATTAAAAGTCATGGAACAGAAATTGTAGTTTATGATACTAGTAATATAGTCTTGCGAGGTTGTTAATATTTTACAAATAATTATATAATTTCGTAAGATGATCCCTGTGAAATGGAAAAAGTGGGATAACACAAATCTGTGTCGCTGAGTCATTTCACAGCACGAGTGGTCGTGATGATCGGGTCGTTGCCGAATCGTGTCAGGATCGTGACACAGATAACCGCAATGAAGTAACTATTACTTCATAGTTTGGCTTTTTTCATTTTTTACCATTGTTGATTTAAATCAAATTATGAATTAAATAAATTTTGAGCACATAAAAGCTAAATGTCGAGTGTTAAAATGATTTACTCTTCCTTTAAATTTGGCCATAACCTTTTTAATGCAATCGCGTGCGTTTGCTCTTTGACATGATTTTCCTAGTTAAAGTTGCTAAAATTCGAATCTGTGCATAGGTAGATTAGTTATTTGTAAAAGGAAAAAAAGAAGAGAAGATTTTTTTAGAGAGATTCTATTTCTATTTCTATAGAATAACTATAGAAACTGTCATTCCGACGTATCAAATAACAATTCATTCAATTTCCGGCCCTGAAACACAATAAAATTGGGTTTCATACAGGAAATTCGCCTACATTAACTAATCAACAGAAATTCCATTGTGAAGTAGCGAGGGAAGTATTTAAATTAACTGATAAATAATTGAAACTTACAAGTATGTCGTATCTAATTATCTTAAATTTCTTTAGGCACTTTGGATAGGAGAAATTTAATAGATATTTAGATACATAGGAAATGAAACTATTTTTCCGGATTCAAATCGCGTATATTTGTTTTTTCAAACAAACCGACGTTTCGGACCCTTTACAGGTCCCATGGTCACGGTTGACTGCGGTGGTACAGTCTTCCACCAGTTATGTCTAATATTGATGCAAACCACCCTATTTTTTCACTAAAGTTACAATAGTTATTAATTAAATACATTATTTTTAATTTTACAAAGAAAACATTCCAATTTACGCTGCTTTAAGTTTTACAAATTATTTTATTGAATGAATTTTTATTAAGTTCAATTTATTCTGAATTAATAATAGCAATTGGAATAAACTAAAACATATTAATAAGTACTGCAGTCTTATGTCTGTTTGGGATTTTTCATTAGAGGAAGTACTGGATCCCAAACTGATGGTACGTAGTAACCATCTTCCCTGTTGAAATTAGGATGTTTTTTAATTAAAGATGGCCTCTCGCAGCGTCCTGGGTAAATAACGGACTTCTTTTGACCTGAGGTTTGTCAAGCTTATTCATATTTTATAGAAATAAAGATTTGTTTGAAAAAACAAATATACGCGATTTAAATCCGGAAAAATAGTTTCATTTCCTGTGTGTAACAATCGCGAAAACCTAAGAAATCGATATTTAGATACAATTGACTTAATTTTGATTGCACTAATAATAAGACCCAAATATTCTAATATATATACACTTTTTCTTGTACTGACTCTAATATTCCCTATAATAAAATTACGTTCTGTCCCTATTTCCACTGCGACTTCTAATCTTTCAGTTGCCTCATTCTTTATTATTCAAAGTGGCATTTAATTGTACTTGTTGTAAATATTTACATTTTACAATTTTTATCAATTATTCTGTCCATATCTTTGTTTTCATTGCTTTAATAAAAAATATCCCGAAGTTTATTAGGTTTACAAAATAATTTTTAAATTTAATTTACTGAATTAAGTTTTTTGGCCCAACTATTCACGAGGAACTAAACAACCTAAACTTCATCACTATTCAGAATCGTTGCCTCATAAAGTACCTTGAATTTCTTTTGTATTTGAATATGAATGAAGAAAACAAAAACGCAACGACGAGTAGTTTACAAGTTGTTCTCGTCAAAATTTTTATTTAATACAATAGAATGTTCTATTTCAGTGGGTACAATGTGCGAACAAAAAGTCAAGTCTTATTTGTTACTTTTAAATTCTTACTTAATATTTATTTCAACTTTATATAGCTTTTTATTATTAAACTTTACATCCAAATTTGTTTAAACTTGGAAGGAAATAAGATAGTTTTAAAAGTACTTACGCTCCCAAAACGTTGTACAGCTCGAGAGTAAAGTGATAATAACAGATCCTAGGTGGCTCATTCTCTCTGCAGGCTCGGGCGCATTCATCGGGGGCGGAGAGTGATGGGTTTCTCCTCAATTCGGCTGTAGCACTGCTGGTGTAGTCCAGATGCTTGAAGCTTGGCTTGCCGCTCGCGCTTTGAGTCAGTGGGGGTAAAGGTTTGCTCCTTACGCCACCACTCAGCGGACCGCCGGAGGCTGCGGATAGAGTGACTTGAGAATTAAAATTATCACTTTGCTAGATATAGTATTCAAATCCATTACATGTAAACATTAACATTGATTCTTTTGATAACATTTGTATAGTTAAGTCAAACACAATTACATTACTTTATCTAATGCAACTAGTTAACGGTTAACTTTTATCTTAACTAAAAACTTTTTTTTATATCATCCGAAGTCCCGTAGAACCAGGTAAATTCTTCTACCTGCAAAAGTATTCATGGAAGGCCCAAGTGTGCTGCCGATGCCAGCGTAGGAGCCGAAGGGATCAGAGGCCGAAGGGTGGGTCTGGACCAGTCCGTGGGAAGCGGAGAAGCTACTGCTACTACTTGCTGCTCCGATCCCTGGGATACTGGGTGACGGCGGCACCGCGTCTGACTGCCACCAGGACTGCGCTGAAGCTGTTTGGTCATCATCGACTGCTTCTGTAAATAGAACAAAAGGATTAGGGTTAAAAGTGCAATTGGACCTTGTACAAATTAGGTTTAAAATGTCTTTCATTCAGAATAAACACTTTGTATGCTACAAAATAGACAAGTTCTTACTGAACAAATTTGAATTTCATTACGGCTTTTGACGAGTTTGTACAGTCAAAAGTACATCAGACTACACATCCATGTTCAAAAATCGCCTCCAGTGCAAACACACAACAAAATACGTCAATGTGCAGCATGATGTATATACTGCCGTGTACATAGAAATTGTTCAATTTATGGGTCGTATTATAAATTAGTTTCAACCCTTGCAGTTTAATTTGTGTGTAAATTTCTAATTATGCATAGTTTAAAATGCGATATTGAATTAAGTTGTTACACCGTACATACGGGAATTAAATTACACTATTAAGACCAAACCGACTAATTCAAAGCAATAACTGGGCGTTATGAAACCTCATGCATGAAATGTATGCGGTTAGAAACAACGCTATTGTGTGAATTTTCAAACGCCATTATACGTCGCCAACATATCAGCATGTTGAGCAAACAAATGTGTTCTTTATCTGGGTTCTATCTGAACGGAGTAAATACCACAGCTCACTACAAAAGGAGCATACAGAATCAATAGAGTTTGCGTTATATTTCGTGTTTACAAGGACATTAAACGCGTGTTAAAGGCCCGTTTAGTAGTAGTCCAGAAATATAACAATGATGAAAACAAACTTTTTATTCCGATGTCGTTTGTGTATTATAAATCAAGGCAGACGCTTTGAAAACTATTGTAAAATGTTCTTTGTTTTTAATAAATATTTGTTGTTTGATTTTGTTTCCAAGTCTCAAATCTCTGATGGACTGCTGCATTTTTTAAGAAATAAAGTAAAATGCATTATGTTCAAAGTACCATTATGGTTACAAGAAATTATAATTCTTTTTATCATTTAAGAAATGAATTTTTACATATGAATGTGGCAAATTGCTGTAAACATTATTAGGCTTTGTTGTTAAGCTTCGAAACAGTGTAGTAATTAAGTGTTATAACGATGGTCGTTCAAGTTAGATTACTTTAATGTTTAGACTATAAAACAATCTGATAGTCGGTTACTTCAAGCATGTTCTCAGTCGATCCGTCATAGCATGGACTGTTCATAAACCATGGAACTCAAATATTTTACGGTAAAAGTGTAAAAAATTTCAAAACTGTCCCAACACTGGTTTAGAAAGTAAAAATGTAGTTTTGTTGGTTTTTTGAGTTTAGCTTTCTAATCCTTTTCAAGAATTATTTAAAAATTCTATCTACCATTATAATATGATAGAGGAGTACACAGTAGCAATAGAGCAGTATAGTAGTTTTACTTGCAGTAGTTCTCCTAGTGAAAGAGTTCGTCCAGGAAAGTACTGCCATATTCCTTATTTCTTCTTCTTCTTCTTGCCGAGCGGTAATGTGAGCATTACATCGTTCCGGTTTTGGAGGGTGCTGGTGAAATTACAGGCACATTGGACTTGTCAACTTATGACTCAGTGTGACGGGCGCAGTGGTAGTGTTCTTCAGATCTTTGCGATTTCCGAGTGGCACTGCAACTGTTATGGACAGGCGTATCGCTTACCACGAGGCGCACTACTTGTTCGTTCCGTCACTTGGTGTCATAAAAAATACTTATTTGTGTTGGCTAAAAATATGTTGAGATAACTTGGTAAGAGAACAAAATCAAATCACTTTATTGATATGGTGGTTTGTCAACTCAAACTTGAGCATGTTCTACAACCATTACAATTCAAATATGTTCTAGGTGGCATTCTCAACATCTGTATTGTATAGTACGGTTTATAAGTAGTAGTGTAGTAGGTAGTAGTAGGTAGGAATGTATTATAGACTATCCCTCGAACATGGACTGTCTAGATAACTTCGTTAGATAAGCAGCAGTCTGCAGGTGTATGCAAATCTCACACAGCTACAGGCCATTCGGCTATAGGCATGCGGTTTAATGGCCAACATTGTCACGACTGGGTTTTGTAACTTCGCTACAACTAGGGATGGCTATTTAAAGGGCTCTACTTCCTACTAAGATAACTAATATTCATATTATGTAACAGGTAACAGTAGCTTATGCAGTAATCGATTCTAATATCTGTTGTAATCCTAGTTACGCGGCAGACAGTTATTAATTCTCTTGATTATCCAACAATCTTGTTATTTATGGTATTTAATGTTTGCTGTTGGAGCGCAAGTGAGAAAGTTAACAATTTATAAGTGACTACCTGTTAACTGCTACTTTGAAAATACTCTTTCAAAATATTCTTGTAGTCGATCATTCAAATAGTTTAATGAATAAATAAATGGATACCACTAAAATGTAATTGTCGGTTATCCAGCAAGCTAATACGCAACCCTAATTATATTTTGTCGGGCGTTAATAATGATTATGTAGCAAAATCGTGCTATACATTTAACTATAAATTATAGTTACTTAATCGAATGCTATAAAAACATTTTTTATCACTGATCGTTTAGGATTTTGAGTCCTTGAACTGGCCACACTTTTACTTCCTGATCCGCAAATTATTGTTAACAATGGCATGTCGTTCGGTATGTTCTTAATAATAAAAGCGTATTTCTGTACATAATTGCAATATACTTCGATTGTATCGGTATTTATATTTGAATCACGTTCAAAGTTGTTAAGGCCCTTGGAATGGAACATTGCAAACAATATAACTGTGATATCATTATATCATTATATAAATCATTAGTTGTAAATGATTTTTGTGTAAGTCTTTAAATACGTAAGAGATACTGCCCTCCTTATCATAACTGACGTACCTAATCGACATTTTTAGCTAAATTGTGTCTGGAATCAACGAAACGAGACCTAGAGCCCCCTCTAAGCGGTTTTTTTATATCTTATTTAGTTTAGTTAAGCAATATCAGCGGAATTCAATTTTTCAAAGAAAAAATATCTTTAGGCACCAGTTATTACTGGTATTCGAGATATTTCTCGAATGTTAGACAAGGAGAGCAGGACATACCTTCAACATAAATTGTAGATCTTGCAACAAAATGATATAGTCTGCAACGCTCTTCCTACACGCTTTACTATAATCTATAAAAAATTCTAGGTTTTAACACTCGCCACCCCCATTAACAAAGTTAGTCCAGCCACAATCAGATTCAAATATAACACAGTTACAAAAAACCTATTACGAATACGAACTCGCGTAGTAAGCGACCTAGAAATGAGTCGTCTCCCATCAACGAATTTTTAAGTTTTAAACAGGAACTCAGCAAGAAATTGAAGAAAAGTTAACGTCCTGGAACCTAGTTCATAATAATACATTCACTCAGGTGATGGAGCAGCAAAACACTTCTAAATAAGCTTATCACCGAAGTCTCTGAGTTGAAATCACAAAACTCTGGAATTCAAAAATCCTTTCTTGAAGTTGAAAAGTCTACAAGCTTTATTAGTTCACAATTCGAGGACATGACAAAAAAAGTTGAAAACTGGGAAAAAGAACGAACGCAATTGGCGGAGTGTGTAAAAAATTTTGATAATAAAATTAAAGACCTACAACAATGTTCTCGTAGTGCCTGTGTTGAAATCAGGAATGTTTCAGCTAAGGAAAAAGAATCCTATGATGACCTGGTGACAATTGTAACAAACATAGCATCCACAATTGGCAAAGAGCTTACTTCGATGGACATGAGATACGTACGTCGCATTCCGGCCATACCAGGGATAATCAAGCCAATTGTTGCTAACTTCACGCATGTGCATAACAAACAAAACTTCATTGATGCAGCAAAGGCTTACAATAAGAAGCGTCCTAACTGATAAAATGAACACTGAGTCTCTGGGAATCATTGGTGACCGTAAACCGGTATATATATCTGATCATTTAACGATGCAGACAAAAAAGTTACTCTTCGCCAGCCATGACTTCGCCAAAACCAATTCGTACGATTTTGCTGGACCTCCAATGGTAATATATACTTACGAAAAACACTTGGAGCGAAACAAATACTTGTGAAATCCGAGCAAACTTTAAAAGATTTAGATTAACTTTTAACTTAAGTGCGACTGACTAAATTCTCCTTTAAAATATTCACAATATTATTTTTATATTCATTGCATAAAATTGTTACACATTACACAAAACGCACAAACAATTCATAATTATACAACACGCATTCTCATACCTCACTTAGTCATATACATTCTCGTATATACATATGCTATAAACTTTTATAATGAACACTAACATTTACCTATACACTTATACAGCCCGCACAAATTTTAATCTACATATTCTTACAATTTACAACTCATATAGTATTAAATACATTGAATCTTACACTCACCGATTTGGTGTCGCATACAACATAAATTCAAAGGAGAATTTTTGGTGATTGAACTGATTTAACAAATTTTATTTTTGTAATGATGTCTGGTGGCTACAATAAACCAACCAGTATTTATGTATTTCGAGTGTTTCCTCCTATACCTTAATATTTTGTATAAATGGCTAATATAACAGAATTAAACCCCGAACTTGACGATTTATTTATATCGAAATCATATACTAGTGACGTCGCACAATGCCACACATATATCAAGAAAAGTTTCAAGTCGTTAACTCTTTTACACCTTAACTTTAGAAGTTTCAATAAAAATTTTGACACATTTAGATTACTACTATGGTCACTAAATCTTAAGTGTGGCGTAAGAATTTTGTCTGAGTGTTGGTTGACCAAGGTAGTGAACTTACCGGAAGTAGAAGGCTACAAATCATATGGTACAAAAAATGTTAAAAATCAAAATGAAGGAGTGGTTATTTATGTAAAAAACTTTCTAAATTATTCTACTCAGGAACCATTCTTTTTGGATGCCAATTGTGTAATCTGCAAAGTTGATAATAACCTAGCTATCTTGGGTTTATATAGATCACCATCCTACAAAATAATACATAACTTTAATAACAGCTTAAATTCCATT